ACAGCCACAAAAGATAATGTGGGGTGGCTCCCAGGAGGAGTACTGTACCCCCAGAAATCATGGAGGGAGTCCTAACGAGGCAAAGGAGTTGGATAGGTCCATGTTATTCACTGGCCAGGGAATATGGATGTTACTATGGAAAATATTCAAAATGTTTAACAACAACTGGTACCGCATGCATCTGACCAATGTGAGGCATGCTGGGGTCCCCGGGAGAAGGGAAGGGGACGGTCCACCCCCTCCCGACCATCAATGTCTGGCTCAAGTGTAGGCTGGGGGGGGGGTTCTGTGGGGAGCATCTCTGAGGACACTCGGGCACTGAGGGCAGCACCCAGGACAATCTTCTCATCACCGGGACTGAAGCAGGTTCATCCTTGGAGAGCCTCCCCCAGGCCTTGATCCTCCCACAGGAGGGGAGGTGGAGGTGAAGGGCTTCCATGCTGGTGCTCCCAAAAAACATCAAAAGAAAAAGAAAAGTGGAGGACTGACCGATGAAGAAAACATTCAAGAGTCTGCTTTAAAGACGGGGGTTTGGACTTTTAAAATAAAGCAACAAACTGAGCCATTGTTCTACTGTTAAGGAGAAGGACCAGAACCTAATCGAATGATACAAAAAAAAAAAAGAGAGAGAGAGAGGGAAAAAAGGGCAGCTGGACAAGGGGATAGGGCAGGGATTAAGGACAAGGTTGCATTGCACACAGCTGACCCTGGTTGGATTCCCAGTACTGTATATGGTCCTCTGAGCACTGCTAGGGGTAGCCCAAAGCACCGTCAGTAGCAGCCCTTGAGCACTTATGGGTGCGCCTACCCCTCTCCCCAAAATGAAGGTCACTGCACAGTGCTGGTGGTGAGTGGGAGGCAAAGTATGAACATGCGGGAGTTTTGAAGCCACGGGGAGACCACTGAAGACCCGATCGAGCACCAAGCAGTCCCAGCTGGCTTCAGTGAACTGCACATTTCTCAACGCTGGTGATCTGGACTTCGCACTTCCACATCGTCAGTTTCAAACACAGGCAGTTGTGTCTGCTGGGCTTCAGGTTTCCTGGTACGATGATAACTTGGTCGAAGGCCGGAGCTTGGCAGGAGGGGGGGGTGGGGGAGGGAGGACGTGTGGGGGATAATCTGCCGGTTATCATATGGGGCACAAACCTGGGCGAGGGTCTCCTCTAGACAAACCTCACGTGTTCTGGTTTGCTCCCAGGCTGAGAGTTCGAGTGAAGAGTCCCCATCTCAAACAGAGGTGGTTAGAATGAGGGAGATGGAAAAACAGCAGGTGCAACCATCTGGCCTCTGAGGGTCCATTCTGTGACTCATCCCTGAGTGGCCCCCACTCGCAGGTTGTTGGCACCCAGGTTCCACAACCAGATGATTCCACTGTCTGAGGCTTCTGGAGAACAAGTCATTGGCAATGATGCTGGATGTTCGTGGTTAGGGGCTGGGGCTGGGGGACACGGACCGGGCGTGGGTCAAAGTTGAGAAAGGAAGAATGCTCCTAATCTAAACTGACCATGGCAGCTGCCGGGATCCAAGGACCAACTCGTGACGGGGAGGTTGGCTCCAACGTTTACCATATTTTGGTCACTTCCACTGGGGCACAGGACTTCTCTGCTCAGGATCACATTTCCGGACCGGGCACCACCTCTTCCCTGTTGATCACAGTGAGGTAAGAAACGTAGACAGTTCCCACCGGGCAGGCACTAAAGGAGCAGTCCTTTGGAACCCATCTTCACCCCTTGGCAAAACAAAAAAGTTAAGATTCAAAGGGAATGGGCCAGAGAGATAGTAGAGGGGAGAAGATGCTTGCCTTGCCCCAGGCCAACCTGGGTTCGATCTTTTGTACTGCATATGCTCCCCCGATCCTCACTGGGGTGATCCCTGGGCTCAGAGCCAGAAGCAAACCCTGAGCACCACCAGGTGTGGCCCCAAAACAAACGATTCAAAGCAGAGCAGCGGCTTAAACAGAATCTGCAGTTTATCCTTGTTGCTGACATTATGGGTCATTCACATGCATGGCCACTGGCTTCTAGATTGAAAACTCCGCAGCCCTCTCATTCAACGGTCCTGGGGCAGGTGGGATGAGGGTGCGGGAGGGTGAGGGAGAAGAGGACCCTGTCACGCGCACAGATCCTGGGCTGGCTCTGAGTTAGAGATGGAGAAGGCCTGCAGCTGTGATCTGGCCATGCTCAGACTGTGTGCAGACTCCCGGAAGAGGAAAAGAAACAAACATGCAAAACTTGGGCGAGGACGGTGCACATTTCCACGGACTGTGGAGTGAAGAACTGGAGATGGCATGGAAGTCAGGAAAAGGACCCCCTGGGAGTGAACACTGGACTCAGGTAAAAGGGAAAGAAGATGTGATGGGTATAGATAGGAGTCCAGCTGCATCCCTGCCTGAGCCTGAGAGATGCCAGTTCCGGTCAGCATCGGCTGACCGGAAGCAGGCGAGCTGGTGGCGAGAGAAGGGGCCAGGAGCAGGAAGGGTGACAGATGTTCGCTTTCGGACTCTGTCCCAAAGGTAAAGGCATTTGAACAAGTTCAGGATTTTTTCTTCTCTTTCTTGGGGGGCCTACGCCCAAACAAAGGAAAACCACAACAGATGTTTCACTTGGTTGTATTTTCAGCAAAGCAAATAAAGAAGAAATAGAAGATTTTTGGATTTGTGATTTGTGTTCGTACTTCTGGTTAAAGTAAGTCTCTTAATTATCGGTGGATTTTAATTACCCAGATTCTGCCTGACCTGCTTAATCAGGGTTGACTGAAAATTGGTTGGAAGTCAAAAAAAGACTGTGGGAGGAAACTTAATAAAGCAAGGGATGTTTCAGATGAAATCCTGATTTTGACCGAAACACTAAAGCGCATCCGAGTCACAGGCACCCCCGTTTCTGAGGAGAGGCGCAGGGGCCCTGGTAAGTATCAGTCATCCAGCGCAGCTATTTCACTTAATCCCGCAAACTAGCTGCAGATGTCGGGCTCAAACAGCTCGGCCGCACATCTGTAATTTTGAAACGGTTTCATATTTCTAAAACCTGACTTCGGAGGCTCCGGAAACCGGTGACATGAATTATGAAGCTCAGGAAGAGGAGAAGAACGTGAGAGGCCAGAAGTGATAGGAGAGAATATTCGGAGCCGCGGCCGAGTGGCCAAGCCCTGTGTGCAGATGGGAGGACCCTGACAGGTACCTTCCGCCCCTGGAGATGGGCTGGGCATTTGAAAAGGGGTGTGTGGGGGGGAGGGGAGGGGAAGTGGGGAGAGGGGTCTCAAACAAGAGGAAGTCCTTTAGAGATAGTCACAGTCTCAAAAACAAATCCTCCTCCTATTGTCCCCTCCTCCAGTGCCACAGGAGGTCAGCCGGAAGACCAGGGCTGCTAGAGGAAAAAAAAACGTGGGGACACATATGCATCCTAGAAAGGTCCTTCCGGTGTTAGGAAGATGGGGCTGGACAGTCAAAGAACTCGCCAGTCACTTCCTGACTACAGTTTAGTCCTGCTGGCGCTTTTCCGTGGAAGACATTGATAAGGAAGTCCGCCGACCCTCAAAACTCTGAACACGGACTCCCAGAGCTGAATTCTATTGCTTGGCTGCTCGTGGCCAGTGGCCGGCACAGGACTGTCCTCAAGTGAGCTTCCTGGGTTCACTGTCTTCATCTCTGTACTCCATTCCCTGGCAGCATTGCAGGACAATACAGATGGCAGTGTCTCGGAGAAGGTACCCACCAGAACCTTCCACCGGGACCTCAGTGTGTGAAGGAGCCCAACAGAAGTCCGGACAGAAACTACAGCCAGTTGAGAGAGGAAGCAAGAGTATTGTTACAGCTTCCAGGAGGTTAGATTCGACGGCAAAGCCAAGACAGGACACACACATTCATCCTGAGAGAATTCCCTGGGGTGGGGAATGGTTTGGTAGCTGAGTCAAAGAGATTTCTTTACTCTGGGGGCTGGAATGTTCTTTCTCTGTTTACTTAAAGCTAGACTGAACACCACAGCATTCATCTCCACTGAGTTTTACTTCTTCCCTGCACTTACATACTTAGAGAAATATACTCTCGGAGGCAAAGCCCGTTAGCCCATCCAATCTGAGCCCAATCTGTCATGAGAATAAAACTTCTGCAATTAGAGGGCAATCTTGGAAGACCACACAAATTCCTCCCCAGGGCAAGTCAGTCTATGGGAGCCCTTCTTGCAAAATTCTGGAGAAAAAAAAAAAAAGAAAGAAAACCAAAGAGAGCAAACACTAGAACACAAGTTCCAATTGGCCTGTGTCTGAATGATTTGAAGATGTCTGCACTTTTTTCAAGGGCAGAGCTGGAAGGAAGACTGGAAGGCCATTCGATCCACAGAAGAAATGAAAATATGAGGGCTAGTTGGTTGAATGCCTGTTCTAGCCACTTCATCTTTGCACTTCTGTAAAATGAGGCTATCATATCACACCTCAAAAGACACAGAAAATGTCTTTTCTGAAGTCACAGAAAAAGTCAACTAATGTAATATAATTTTAAATTTTAAATATACACAAAGAGTGGGAATTGGGTCAACTTATCAACAGACACAACATAATCACAGAGAGATACAATATTCACCCACCTTTCAGAAGGAAGCGTCATCTATACATGAAAATAGTATTATCATACGAGGGGAGGAAGAGACTTAACATCTTACAACACAGCATAAAAGGATAGAGAGGGAGCTCATTAATGAATTTAATTATTTTAAGGCCCATTGAAATTAGAGAAATAACAAAGCACCCACAGTGTTAAGGATTTCTTTTTTAGAGCATTTTAGAATTTACTAGTTCAGACTTTCAGTCACAGCAAGTTATTAGCAGTGAAGGGATGGGCCCTTTAGGGATTTTTATTCCAGTGATAAAGTGTTATGGACAAGACAACCTAAGTTAAAAAAAAATTAGTAGCAAGCGCTAGTGGAGTTAATCTGTTAGATACAAACTGTACCCTCGGGGAAGCTAAATGAAAAGCAACAGCAAGGCTTACAGAACTTAGCTCGTACAATTTGCCGTGAAGGCGGAAGATTGGTTCCCTGAAATAGCAAAGAATTATATGTTTTAGTTCAGGAGAAAAAGAAAAGTTTTTAAAATAAAGTCTATTATTACCTCTTCTCCTTTCAAAACAATGGGAAAAAAAAGTCTAGCACAGAGGTTTCCATTTTTGTTCAATACTTCTACCTCTGAATGTAAAATAAAAACAACCCTATAAAATCATCATTGTTTTGAGTCGAAAAGAAATAACAGTGCAAATACTCATGATCACAAAAGACATAAAAGAAACAGCAAAGTGTCGGAGTTAATGCCATCTCTGCAGAGCGCTGTTAGTGAGAGACAGTTGGTTCAGCCCCAAAATTAGGTCTTAGGAATTCAGTCTTCATTGACCGACAGGAATTTGGGGTGGCAGGGTTGAGCACACCTCTGCCTCTTTAGGGGCTGTCCCTTCACTGTTACCAAGCTGTGCAAATGTGTGAACTAGAGAGACCACCAGCTGGCTCATGCAAACCACCCCGCCCCAGCCCCCTCTCCCACCCAGCTTAACCCTTGAACTGAATCACAGGTTCCAGGTTAAATCAAACTAGCAAGCCAAGGAGAGCACAAGGAGAACAGAGCACAGAGCAAATAGCAGAAAAGTTACTTTAAAGAAATCAATATGGTTAGCTGCACAAAATAGCAAAAAAAAAAAAAAATTTTAAAAAAGGAAAAGGAAAAGAAAAAAAAAAAGCAATTCACTCGAAAGCATTAAAAGCAAAATCAAAAAAAAATCCGGTAAAATTTGCGCATGATTAATCTGCATGAAAAAAAAATAGTCAATCAAGCCAATAAGTTGGAAATTCTTGGCAGGGCCGCAGACCTGCGTGCACGGCCGCCATCGCTTCCTACCTGGTTTCCGATCGTGTTTTTCTTGTTAACTTGGCTGCTTCTCTGCTGAGCACTGCGGGAGGCAAAGGAGAGCAGTGTTGAAGTCTCAGCCCCACGGGACAGTTACTGGAACGCGCCGCTGTACGGAATGTGTGCACGGGGCAAGGCACGTGGTCCCTGAGGCAGCCCTTGGGGTCCACCGCCCAGGTTCTACTGCCCTCCAGAACCCCAACCAGCTCCATGGAAATTCTGCCTAGGAACAGTCTGACACCCACCCTGGCCTGACATGGCAGGGGGAGTGAGAGTCACGGACGGTCAGTGTGTGTGTGTGTGTGTGTGTGTGTGTGTGTGTGCGTGTGTGTGTGTGTGTGTGATCCTCACAGATGGGGTTTGCGCCCCGTGCTCCCTGATGTCCAGACTGTGACACCAGCACCCCATCAGTAGCTTCTGCTAACTCCCAGACTCCACCTCCAGGCCACATCATTCTCAGCCCTCAGTTCACGGGTTCTGAGGACTTAGCTCTGCCACTTGGGTATCTGACGGGCAGCTCAGCCTTCAGAGGTCGGAAGCAAACCCTTGAACCTGTCTGCCCCCCATAGCTCCCCAGTTCCCTCCCCCGGGGGGCTGATGGCCAAGGTCCTCAACCCCTCCTACTCTCCGATCCCACTATTCAATCATCATCGGGGACTCCACTGCTTCGGCAGGTGGATAAAATCCAGGCCCCTTCTTACTGCACCCCTCTTTCTCCCAGCCACCTGCATTTCCGCCACCACTGCCTCTCTGGTCTCTGCCCTGAGCCTAGATCTCACAGCAGAGTGGTCTTCATCATGCATGGGGAGATGGCCTCACTATATTCGGGTCAAAAGTCAAAGTTCTTTCAAGAGTCCCTAGGCACTACTTGGCGGGCCCACTGGGCCTTCGACCTCATCTGCACCTCCTCTGTGATGAGGGACAGTCACCCTGGCCTTTCTGGGACTGCCCCAGCTCATGCCCACCTCCAAGCCTTTAATCCACTTGCCTCCTCTGCCTACAAGACACTCCCTGCCCACTGTTGTTTATCTGTGGGGTCCCCAACGTGGTCTCCTTTCCACCTCGGCTCAAGTTCATCAGGCAGCAAGATTTTCACCTCCAGCAAGGGGCGGCCTCCCATTACTCCCAGTTCATCTCCTGCCCTTTCTCCTGCTCTACCTTTCACCTTCCCTCACTCTACGGCACTCACTCACTTCTTCCGAAGCTTCCAGAGCCCAGTGCCCCTACTATGATCCAGGAGCAAAGGGGCTCGCTCTGGCTCGGCCACTGTCTAAGCAAGTTCCAGGCATGGATGGGAATGGTTTTCAATGCTCTCTCAAAGATCTGCTTGATCTTTAAAATGGCACTAAATATTCAAATGCGTAAACACACGAAACAGAAATTAAGCATCCGTTGTAGGGAACGTCCACTGAGGCTGCCGCCCACAACCCAGGAGCCCCCCTCAGAACCCCGAGCCCCAGGCCACACGTTGGGGTGTTTCTGTGTCTTCGTCAGCAGAGAATGAAGGCGTCCCTTGCGGGAATCCAGGAGGCTGTGTGTCCTCATTCAGCAGCTGACAGAAACCAGGGGACAGTGGAGGATGAAAGAGAATCTGGCCATCATTGGGGACCACTATTGGAAACGATAGGATCTTGGGGTGCAGAAGGAATTAGCACAGCTCCCCAAGGCTGCCAGGTTTCATCATCTCTGGTGATGGGAGGAATCAGCTTCCCTGTATCCCGAAGGGGGAAAAACTGGGTTGGGTTCCTGAAGATACTGCTTTTACTTTCATTTTCCAGATTCTTTCTGCTTTCCTCATTTTGGGTTCTCTTCCTGGTTTCTCTGGAAAAGCGTCATTCCCTTACCCTGATGAAATTCCACTCTCCCCGTCACTTCTCAACATGACGCGTATCTTCATGAGGGCCTAAGAAGCCTGGGCTGGCCTCGGCGACCCTGTCACTGGGCGTGTCCACACCACACTGCCCGGATTCCGCCTCCTTCTAAAACACTCCTGGTCATGATTCTTGGGAGAGGGGGACCTCAGTGATGGCTCTGGGAGTGCCACTCACCTCATGGTGGCCTCGCTCACCCTGTCTGACAAAGGCTAAAGGGAGAAGCAAGCTCTCTGGCATCAGGTCTCCCTGCAGGGGACCCTTGGGATAAATGGTGACACAAGAACCGCCTCAGCCAACTGAATACACAGGGATGAGGGACCACAGGTCAGGGTGCAGAGCGAACCCTCTAACTGCATGTCTATGCATAACCCTTTGCATCACGCTCAGGAGCACATGAGTCCCTAAAAGGCCAAGGGAGAGTATGGAGAAGGGAGAGTATGGAGACAGGATAGACCATGTTAGACTAGGTTTTCTTTTCTTTTTCTTTCTTTCTTTTTTTTTTTTTTTGCTTTTTGGATCACACCTGGCATTGCACAGGGGTACTCCTGGCTCGTGCACTCAGGAACTACTCCTGGCAATGCTCGGGGGACCCTATGGGATGCTGGGAATCGAACCTGGGTCAGCCACGCGCAAGGCAAACGCCCTCCCCGCTGTACTATTGCTCCAGCCCCTAGCTTTTTTCTAAAATAGCAAAAGTTTTTCTAAAATAGCAAAAGCTCACTCCAGGCGTACAAGGTGGAGAAAAAGAACCCAGGCTGAATATGGTGGTGTTTCTTCCTGGTTTGTTTTCTACATGGAAAAATCAAGAAGAAAAAAAATCTTTAAAAAAGAAATCTATATTTTCAGGCTGAAAGGACCTAGCACAGTGAATAAGATACTTGCCTTGCACGTGGCGGACCCGGTTTCAATCCCTGGCACTGCACAAGATTCCTGGATCACTCAGTGATCCCTGAGTGCAGAGCCCTGCACGCCACTGGGGACAGCCCCCAAACAAATAAAAGTTGACATTTTCTCCTGGAATACGCAGATTTTAAGTTTAGAAAGCTTAAGAGTGGAAAGATGAAGGTATAGGAAGTCAGGAAATGCCTGTGAATCCTACTTCATGGCCCCAAGTTTCAGAGAGTGAATGGCTCTCTGGAGATGGAGATGAGATTCATATATTCAACTTGGCAGAACTTTTTGTTTTCTTCTCCTCCTTCTCCTTCTCCTTCTCTTTCTTCTTCTTCTTTTTTTTTTTTTATTTTTGGCCACACCATGCTCAGGGGTTCCCCCTGGGTCTGCACTCAGGAGTCACTCCTGATGGTGCTCCAGGAACCATATGGAATGCCAGGGATTGCACCCAGATGGTACTGGCTGTACTTGGCTATACTATTGCTCCAGCTCCACAACTTTCTTTTTTCCTTTTTCTCTTTTTCTTTCTTTATTTTATTTTTTTGGTAAGGGAAACAAAAATCTCTCAAAACTGGAAAAAAAAATACACGTGTAAAATAGTGTGGCAGTTCCACTCACTTAGCAACTTTCTAGAAATCTCACAAGACGAATGCTTATTTTTCGCATCTCCAGACTGTAATTTTCTATCTCTGGAGTTTAAAAAGTACTTACAGAATCAGCTTCAACTTCAGCTCTCTCTTCTTCCTTGATGGAAACTGCCTGCTGACCTTAAATGTTATAGCTACACCCATATTTTCTTCATTTTTAAAAAGTGCATGTGCAAGTGTGCACGCACACTCACACACACACACACACACACACACACACACAATCACATCCTCTCAAACACCAGGAAGGCCCTGCTTCATCAAGTGTCCAGGCACCCCTGAGGCTCCCAGCCCCCCTGTCCTAAATAATGGGGTATGGGGGCAGGGGAGTCCCAAGGATGCTCTGGACGAACTGTTGAGAGGAAGCCCACGTGACAATCAAGCATTTCACCTACTTGGCGAAGCCGATGAAGTCCTCGTGGTTGGTGTTGATGTAGGAGACTTGGATGTCAATCAACAGTAGCACCTGTCCGTCAGAGAGAAGCCCTTCAGAGACACCCCAGAAACAGCCCCAGCACAGAATACAGTGACCCCAGTTTGGCCCACCCACCCCCACCTTTCTGTGCTCTGAATGACCCCCTAAGGAGAAGGGAAAGCTTCTGGGGTGGGGAGGGGCGGGGGTCTGTCTTCCCTCTGAATTCAGAAATTAAAGGTGCCTGGAGGAAGCAGAGCTGAGGGCCAGCCAATGAAACACAGTGACAAAGACGACCTTGATGCCAACTCCAGAGCATGGGAGGGGGCCAGGCGATTCAGGCCTGAGGGTTTGGGGCCCTGGGGTGGGAGTAAAGGGGCAGAGCTCAGGGCCTTGCCCTCCCCAGCCCCTGCTTTTGGGTTTCTCCTCATTTGTTCCAGAGAGGCCTGGGAAGGTGCCCCCAACCCTGGGGGACTCTGGCCGCACCTGGTCCTTGGTCTTCCCTTCTCGCTCCCGAATGTGGTTGGCGACAATCCTCTCTGTCTCCTCACAGAGTCGGGGGAAGTTCGCCAGCTGCGGGGACAAACAGGCCTGAGTGTGGCGCTCTGCCGGGTCACAGCCTCCCAGCACAGCAGAGAAAACCCCAGAGCCCCGGTCCCAAGGACCCCAACGAGGATGCACCATAAGTGAGTTTAGGATGTTCACCCAATTGCTTAAGAGCAGGAGAAGAGCAGCTAATTCAAATGCACACTTTCTTTTTTTTTCTGCTTTTTTTGGTCACACCCAGCAACGCACAGGGGTTACTCCTGGCTCTTCACTCAGGAGGTGCTCAGGGGACCATATGGGATGCTAGAAATCGAACCCGGGTCAGCCGTGTGCAAGGCAAACACCCTACCCGCTGTGCTATCGCTCCAGCCCCACAAATGCACACTTTCTGGTTGAAGCATCCCTCCCCGGGAACCGGGTCACAGAGAGCAGTAGGCGCTGGGCAATCCAGAAGTTTCTGACCATCCTTCCCACAAACCTCCCCCTTGGGCAAAGTTGCTCCCTCACCAGCTGGGCTCACAATAGGGGAGCCATGAGACTCTGCAGGAAAGACGGCGGGTATGGACAGATGAGCACTGGCTGGGGAGTTCTGCCACCCGAACTCACTTTTTTGGAACACTTCTTCACAGTGTTGATTAATTCCTGCATGACCAAGTCCACACTCTTCAAAGATGGCCCTTTCAGCTTCACAATCTGCTTTTTGACTATTGCTTCGAACGCCATATCTGGAGTGAACAGCCCCGTCCTGCACAATTGAAAGACTGAGTGACAGCCGAGCTCTTTGGAAAACAATTTTGGCCTGCCACTTAAAACGAAACATTTGTCACCCTTGCTTAAAGGTCACAGTGATCTGTTCTAACCACAGTGCCATCTGCAAAAGCACCTTGATCCCACTATTCTGTAACAAATCCCATTATATTGTTGATCAACATTACCAAAAAATAATGTATTTATTATTCCCAAAGTATTTATTTTAAATAAAAATTTAAATAACAAAAATAAATTTAAAATAAATAATAAAAAATTTTAATAAAAATTAAATTATAGTTTTTATTACTTATTTATTATTCCCAAAGTATTTTTACAGCCTGAAATATGGCCTTTAAATATCAAACCTATTTTGTCTCATCTCTCTGTTTACTAACAATATAGAAAAAAATACTTGAATGGAAATGGTGTCCTAAATGAACATTTATATTTCTAAAGTATTCGAAAAACAATCTTCTGTCTTGTATAGAATAAGCACTGATCTGCCGGGAGTTTTTTTGTTTGTTTTTTGTTTTTTTTGGGGGGTTGCTTCTTTGTTTTGATTTGGGCCTTGGTGCTCAATCACACCTGTGGGGCTCAGGGGACCATATGTGGTTCCAGGGATCAAAACTGGGTCAGTTGCATTCAAGGCGAGCTCCCTACCAGCTATACTATAGGTCACTCGGCCAATCTGTATTTCTTTTTTTTTTATCCTCTGCTTTTCGGGTCACACCCAGCGATGCTCAGGGATTACTCCTGGCTCTGCACTCAGGAGTTACTCCTGGTGGTGCTCGGGGGATCATATGAGATGCTGGGAATCGAACCCAGGTCAGCCACGTGCAAGGCAAATGCCCTACCTGCTGTGCTATATCGCTCCAGTCCCTAATCTGTATTTCTTGAATGCTGAAATGGCCTAGTTCCTTGTTCCAGGAGGAAAGGACTACAGCTGGAGGCCCTGGATGCTTGGTCACACTGTGAGTTTACAGCAATAACAACCATCCAAAGAACCAGGACCTTCTGACATGGCTGCGATGAATTCAGATTTGTATCCTAGCAACCCTTTTTCTTCTGATATGCAGGAAAATAGGAGGTAGGTAAAAACCAGAAATTGACTGGAATGCACTGCCGAGTGTTAGTCATCACATCTGACAAAATGGAGCTGGTGAGGAATTTTGAAACCAAATAACGGTGCTGGCTTTGGTTAAGCAAAAATGTTTTGAGCGCAAAAATGTAATGCAATTTGAGCATAAAATAAATGCAGTTCCCCTGCATTTATCAGAGAATCGTGTTCACATCCCAGTTCTGATCAGTTAAGGAGCAGGATGTGAATTGTAAACCCAACGTCTTGAGGATTGGACAGGGAATGGAATTAATCAGGAACTCAGAAATCTTGTTAGTTGGAGAGAGTCTGCTGATTCTAAATGCTAGGTAATAGATATTTGCTCCATTTGTCTCTGCAAATACTCATTCTCACCGACGATTTGAGCCTCCGAGGCAGATTTGAAAATGAAAGATCCCTGAGTGGAGGCTCAGGGGTAGCCCCTGAGCACCGCTGGATATGAGCCCCCCAGAACACACCAAAAAACAGTAATTCCCCTCCAGAGCTGGTTGCTGGTCGCCTCCCTGGAGTTCCAGCCATACTCTGTGGACAAGAGCTCACAGGAGCAGTGAGGGCTGAAAGCCCAGGAACCCACGCCAAGGGCACAATTTTGCTCAGGCTACTTCCACGGGGTCTTTGTCAGGGGAAGGGGAAGGGAAGGCACTCACCTTATGCCGTGGATGTTTTTGATTGCGTAACTGATTTCTCTGCGCAGCTCCTTCTCGTTGAACTCCATCTGCAGGTGCAAAGGGAGCTGCCATTAGGACACTTGGTTCCTCGGGACAACAGACAGGGCTGAAAACTGCAGGACGGCAGCCGTGTTGCCTTGACTGCTGATAGCTGCCCTTCCTAATCGGCTTGTCCCAAGCTGAGGACAAGCACAGCACCTGCGGAGGGTTCTGGGAGTCTAGGTGGGGGGATGTGAACTCTGTCAGAGAGAGGAGGGCCAGTCACGAGTGAAGCCTGCAGCTCACGCACCTGTCCACTCCTCTGAAAGACGTCGAACCTCACTCTGGTCCCTGAGCGTAGAACGCCACAGGCTGATGGGTAAATAAGAGTGTGGCCCGAGGGGAGATGCCAACTGTCCTTCCTGAGACTAAGACAGCCTGGGCTTTCTCCCCTTGCCCCTTGAACCACCAAGCTCAGGGCTTTCTCTAAAGGGAAGTTAATACTAGTTTATAGAGCCAGTGCAGAAGAGAAGGTACTGGAAGCCTGATTTGCTGGAAGTCCAAGGCCCCTGCTGTGTCTTTGGAAGTGGGGGAAAGGTGTCTCAGATCTTAAACCTGGGATGTGGGGTTCAGGCCCCAAACCCAGGCCTTGGGGGTCTCCAGCCTCCCTGACTGCCCATTTGCTCCTCAGCGTATTGGTGCCACAGAACAGTGATGGTTGTAGTCCCCGTGGTGAAGGCACCACGGCTCAGGCTTCACCACGCTTCCAACTCCATCTCCAAGCTCTTCTCGATTCCTGAGTTCTCGCCCGTCATCCCCAAGTTAGCTTTGAGCCAGGCTGGGACCCGCGTCTGTGGGCTGTGTTTCCAGAGCGCCAAGAGCCGGAGTTTATCTCTTTCCTTAGCGCATGCTAATGAAGTTCTCTATCTACCCACCTGCCTCCTCCGCCTGGCCCAGGCACCCACTCTCGAGGGCCTCAGCATCACTTAGTCGCCCACAGGACACGTCACACCGGAAGCTTCCATCCTGGGCGATCTTCTTGTAACTGGTGCATGCACACACGCCTGGCTCTTCCTCAGTTTCCCCGATGAGAGAGCTACTCGCACCTGCTCACTCGAGGCAAACCACTACCTTGGAAGGGGTCTGGAATCTTCCTCGTGTCCACAGGTCTGCTCCCCCCCTCCAGGATCACCCATGGGACCATTCCTCTCCTCTTCACCGGACAGGAAGTCAGGTTTGTTTGTAAGGACTTCTCCTTGGTCTCAGTTCTTTCCTCTTCACCGGCGGTTCTCCCCAATTTCGCAAGCCTCAGACCCCATCAGTAGCGCATCTGGATCTATCCTAGCTCTGGTCCTACTGCCTCACTCCCCTCTTGACAGTCCAGCTCCAGAAGGTTCTGTGAACATTGTCAGCCAACTCAGTTCAACCACTCCTAAAACCCTGGCCAGGCCTGGCTCCCCATGATCAGAGGTTTCCCCGCTGCCCCCAGAAATAGGGAAGGGACACTGCCCTGGGCTGCACACTTGTCCACTCCCTCCTCGTCTGCCTTGTGCCCACAGAAGGTGATGGGGAAATATTTCTCCATTAGACACCAGAGCAACATCCTGGGAACTCAATGAGTCCCTGTAGAAGTCATTTAAAATGACACCAGGTCCCATTAAATTAAAAATCAGAATCGTCAGTATGAGGATCACTCTAGAACTCGAATCCCTGAACACGGGGGCTTCCAAAGGCCAAGGCAGGCCTCTACCTCCGGGGTAGGTAATATTTCATGAATCATTCAGAGGCACAGACCATGAAAATCTCTGAGAGGAAATGGGGAGGGAGGGGAGAGAGGGAAATTGGTACCAACCTTTACTATTTCAAAAGGAAAGCGTTCGTGGAAAATACGATTGATTTTAGCACCCCCTGAGAGCTCCAGGGTATCTACTTGGTCCCCTGACCCCTCGATTCTCTTCTCAAAATCCACAGCAAATTGCTGAACCATCCTACAGCGGGGTGAGAGAGAAAAAATTGAAGGGAACATGAGAAGCTCTGCATTCCCTCCCTTGACAGACTTTTATTCACCCCAGAAGCTTGATACCGGGGAGGGCAGTGGCATCTGCTGGCAGAATCAACTCTGCACCTTCTTCTCCACTCTAGGTGGGAATCCTCAAAACCCACATCGTGGAGATGAAGCTGAGACATTTAATTGGCACACATCTTGCAAATATCTGCCATTTAAATGCATTCTGCCCAATTCCATGGCAACTATTAAGTGGCATTTAAAGAGCATGTCAATAAAGAATCTTTGCATTAGCAATGTGGGGGTGGCGGGTGTAGGGGGGCACCGTTGAAAGGCCCACATTAGGGCATTTGTCTGGCATGTGGCCAACCCAGGTTCAATCCCTGGCATCTCATAGGATCCCCCAAGCACCGCCAGGAGTAATTCCTGAGTGCAGAGCCAGGAGTAACCCCTGAGCATTGCTGGGTGTAACCCAAAAAACAAACCAAAAAAATCTATTAAAAAGAATTTAAAAAAAAAAAAGGAAAAGAAAGCCCCACATTAACAGCATGACCAAAACGGAAGATCAACAGTCAGAGGTGGCAATGCCAGGTCTGAGTTCACAGCCCGGTGCCACACAGCTCCCTAAGTTCTTCCAGGCCAGAGCCTGGGGGCCCCCAAGGCTGAGGAGCGGCACCCACATGACGTGCAGGGCTTGAAACGACAAGATCCTAAGTACAATAATATGGAGCGAAGCTTCTAAGGGATCATCCTTTGTACAATACTGAGGACATTCCCCAGAGCTGTGTCTTTGCGTGCAGACCCCAGGGCCAATAATAAAATCCACATTTGAGGGTCCGGAATGATAGTACAGCGAAGACAGCATTTGCCTTGCACGCAGCTGACCTGGGTTCAATCCCCGGGATCCCATAGGGTCCCCCAAGTACCACCAGGAGATTCCTGAGTGCAGAGCCAGGAGCAACTTCTGTGCATCGCCGGATATGACCCCCAAATTAAAAAAATAATAGTAATAATAACAACAATAAAAGCCAACAGAGCTGAGTGACCATTACTGGTTTACGCCCCCCCCCCACTTGAAAAAAACAAAACATGGGCCCTGGGCTCAACTTCTAGTAGGAGGGAAAGAGTAAGAGCCATTCTGCGAGAAAACTGGTTCCTGGGTCACCCCCAGACCCGCAGTCACTTCACCGGCTGCCTGTGCAAAGCAGAGCTGAGAGGCAGGCCACCCCAGGGGCAATCGTGGTGGACCCCGCTGGAGAGAGAACTCACTGCAGCAATGCTTTGGTCTTCCTGGTGGGGTCCTCCGGCTTGAAGTTCCTGAAGGCCTCCACCTCGTGCTCGATGGACAGCAACTGCCCCTGCAGCTTGTTCCGGAAGTTCGGCAGGGTATCCCGGATATGGTTAGTGAGTTGCTGCCAAAACGGAAGAATCATGGTCGGACCATAGGAGACACGGATGGGCTCATGAGCGTGACAGATGCCCGTCCTAAGCATTTCCCTGATGGTGACACACTCCTCCCGTTGGCTGCCTCTCTGGAGCCTCCTGACTCTCCGTCCTTGAGATCCGTATTTCCTGACCTCTGGAACTGCCTGCTTCGTCACTGACCCTGTCCCCACAGGGGCACCTCCTCACCTGATTGAGGACCTTCTGCAGGTGTGGGGTGCCCATGCGGTCAGCGATGTGCCTGTAGGCCGGGTGCGAGAGAAAGAACTTCCTCTCAGCCATCATGGCTGCCTTGATGTCCTTCTTCCCGTCTATGTCCTTCTGGCTCCTGTTCACCACACCAATGTAGCCTGCAACAGGACACAAGCCAGTGAAGTGGGGGAGGACAAGCTGCATGGCTGACATGACGGGGGTGGGGGGAACACCTCACATCAGGACCTCACGTCAGGCTGGCCAAGAGAAGCTCATGCTGAGGGCCTGAGGAACAGCACCCTGAGATGCTGGTACGCAACCATGACCACAGGCCATGGGGCTGGAACAATAGCATAGCGGGTAGGGAGTTTGCCTTGCATGTGGCTGACCCGGGTTCAATTCCCAGCATCCCCGAGGGCCCCCTGAGCACCACCAGGAGTGATTCCTGAGTGCAGAGCCAGGAGTCAGCCCTGTGCATCACCGGGTGTGACCCAAAAAGAAAAAGAAAGACCACAGGCCAAGGTGGTTTTGACATCAGCAGACAAATGCCGCCTACATTGTCATTTTCAGGTGGCAGTCCCTCAGCAATTGTGGGTCATAGCAGGCCCACTCAGGAGAACAGTTACACCTCCCTTCCATGGAAAGGGACACTCCACAGAGGTCCACTCTGAACGCCTCCTTCACCCCTCAGAAGCCACCCCACAAAACTGCCATCTCCCCGTGGTTGCCGCCCAGTCCATCCCCAGAGTGCGGTCCACGTGGTGTTCTGACACGTTACCCCTGCGCAGGGGCAGCAGCTTATTCTCCAGGACATCCCTGGCGTCGGTCCCTTCATCCATCAGATCCAACTTGGTGATGACTCCGATGGTTCGCAGACCTGCGTGGTCAACAAGCCCGACGTTACACTGCATGCAGGAAGCAAATGAGGAGTGGAGATCCCACATGTCTCCAGGCTCCATGACAGCCCACCGTGTCCGCAGCTTCCTCCTCCAGTGTGCCCACACATCCCTGGGGTGAATACACAGCCCTCACTATGGGCTCTCAGGGTTAGTGCCTCTTAACTCTCACAATACTTCCTACTTGAAGTCCATTGCTACAGTATTTGGTCTACCACACCGAGAGAGCAAAGATGGAATGATCAACCTACATCTTAAAATTCAACAGGGCCTGAAGAGATGGAAGAGGGAAGAGGCATGTGGACAAGCCCAGTATGATCCCAGGTACTGCATCAGGTTCCCTAGCCCCACCAGGAGTGACCCTGAGCACAGAGCCAGAAGTAAGCATTGAGTACCAACCAGTCTAGGCCCCAAACAAACAGAAAAATGCACTCATGGGGTTTCTGATTGCTGGTCCTGCATACTAGATGCTTGAATGCTGTCGCCATATCCGTACACAGAGAAGGCGAGACAGAGAAACCCGTCACCCTTCTGGAGAGCCAGAAGAGAAGTCACAGGGAAAACTGTGTACCCCCAGAAAATTTTGCAGAGAGAGGTGACTACGGAAACAGGATGTCCAGCGGGAATACTTTCTACTTGATTTTTCTGGGAAGCAGAAATTGCTGGACGCAATCCAGTCTCTTCATCAAAGATAATGCAGTTACATAACCCAAGTTACAAAGCACCCCTGAGAAGAAGGTGTGACTTTTCCCTTGATGTTCCCCACTACCTGCATCCTTCTCACCCCCAACCCTAAGCAACTGTTTATTTCCCTGAGCACAAGTCATGCCCCCACCTTTATCCACCACTCCACTCACTCTGGCCTCCTCACCTTTGGCATATTCTCTCCAAACACCCTTTCCTTCCCCCTACTCCCTTCTCCTTTCCATCTTCCAAACATCTTTCAAAATACCCAAGTCCTGCCCTGCAAGGTGAAATCAAGTGTCAGCACCTGCACTGTGACCGCCTGATGCCCCACCCAAGGGGCACCCTCTCTTCCAGAGCCAGCACTGGTAAGCCACCACCATCCTAGCTGCTCAGAGGGGCGCCCAAGTCAGAGCGGAAACCCAACCTATGCAGGCTGCTAGGGGGGAAAAATCAATATATTTATGCATCTTCCCCTCAGACAAGAACTAAAAGGCTAGGGCCAGAGAGTGACAGTACAGCAGGGAGGGTGTTTGCCTTGCATGCAGCCAACCCGGATTCGATCCCTGGCATCCCATAGGGTCCCCCAACCACCACCAGGAGTAATTCCTGAGTGAAGAGCCAGGAGGAACCCCCGAGCATCTCTGGGTGTGACACAAAAGCAAAACAAACCAAGAACTAAAAGATCAAGACCAAGGGAGGAACACAGCACTCCTCTGCCATATTCATCGAGGCTGGTCACTGTCACTTGAGAGCTTACTGAAGGGTGCGACCATCACTTCCGCTTACAGATGCAACGGAATCCTCTGTGATGTGCTGGTCCACCTAATTAAGATATGGGACCAGACCAAACCATGAAGCACATTGGCGGTTGCCAGAAAAGGAAAACAGAACACGATGTGCACCAAGACAGCCGCCGTGAGACACAACAGCAGAGAGGAGCGTAAGCGTGTATATAGCAAGATTAAAAACAGGCCCAGGAGCTGAGATGTCCTGTTCACGTATTTATTTACTCATTTGGGGTTTTGGGTGGTATCTGGGGAGGGGGGAGGGAGGAATCAAGGGGGTGTGTAGTAAACATTCTCCGTTTGGAAAAGAGAATGGAATGTTTATTTCTGAAAGTGATTGAACAAGGACATTTTGGGTTTTTTTTTTAATCTATTTTCCCCTCCTATAAATTTTCCATGAATATAATGTGCTTGTTACTTCTGACAGTTCTAAATAATAATACAATTTCCACTTCAGAGCCATTCAAGGATACTATTGTACGGGGAACTCGGTACAATATTGAGTGGGAAAAGTTTACAGTGTGTACAATGACAGGATAGACTTAAATCCAACCTTCTGATAAGAAGACTGATGTAAAGGGGTCTAAAATACCACAGTCATATGACAGGCAGTGAAAACTGGGGGAAAACAAAGTGAAATTGTAGGATATACATAAGAAATGCAGTTTAAAGGCAGGGATATAAATAAACTAAGAGCATGGGAAAGATAAACAGAGCAGACACTACTCACAAGAATGGCAGAGTGGCCCCTTCAACAGATTTCAGAGCAAGGAATATTACCAGTGATAAAGAGGCATTACCATGATAAATAATCACCAATAAATATTATCATGATAAAGTGATCCATTAATAAAGGAGGCAGTACAGCTTTAAATGTGGAAGCAATCTGATAATGGATTTTCAAAACACCAAGCAAACGCTGACAGAACTAAAGGGAGGCCTTGACCACTCTGAATATAGCAGGAACTACCACACTTCTCTCTCAGCAATTAAGGGAACAAGTTAATAGAAGAATCAAGAGGTATCTAAGACTTAAACAACGCCATTAACAATCTTGACCTGAAGGACATCTGTAGAATGAACCACTCAACAGCAGAACATACGTTGTCTACATCCATCAAAATGGAACCAAACTTTCATACACTTAAAAGGTCTATGGTAATACAGAAATCAGCATCAGAAAACTTTCTAGCAATGATGAAATATTAGGCAAGGAAGCAACAGCCTTCTAAAGGAGCATGCACCGGCCAAAAGGAAGTTGCAGGGAAATTCACAAATATTTCAAACCACATGAAAGCTAAATTACCAAAATTTTTGGTACACAGCTAAATACTGGAAGGAACTACAGCTTTGTTTAAATAGCACTGTTAGCAAATTAAAATGTTGAAAAACAGTGATCTAAACTCCAATCTTGAGACTCTAGACAGTGAGGGGCTGGAGAGATAGTACAGGAGGGATGAAGGCGCGAGCTTTGCATGTAACTGATCCTAGTTCTATCTCTGGGACCACACAGTAACCACGCATTGCTGGGTGAAGCCCAGAGGCCTCCAACACCACCAGGGTACCCCAGGCAATGCCTGGCACTGGAAGGCTCAAGCAGCATCTCCTTCCCAGGCCTCACATTGAGTGAACAACTGGCAGCTGACCAAGAATCACCAGGAGTGCCCCAGGGGGCCCGTAAGCACCGCTTGGGAATGCCCCCCAAAGTAATAATCTAGACACAGAATCACCAACCTAGTCTAAAGAAAGGGACAATAAGGGAATAACAGAGAGTGGAAATTAGTGTAACAGAATACAAATAAGCTCTGATTAAATGCAGGAACTGTGCAAAGGTCAACACAATTATTTACTCTTATTTGTTGACTCAACAAACTGGCAATTCCAGCCAGTGAAACAGGGCAAGAAAAATTCTAATGTCTAGGCAGTAAAAAGAATAAAATTGTCTTTTACTCGGACTGGAGCGATAGCACAGCGGGTAGGGCGTTCGCCTTACAAGCGGCCAACATGGCCGACCCGAGTTCGATTCCTCCGCCCCTCTCGGAGAGCCCGGCAAGCAACTGAGAGTATTCGATATGCCAGACACAGTAACAACACAGTCTCCAATGGAGACATTACTGGGCCCGCTCGAGTAAATCGACGATCAACGGGAGGGCCTTTACCTTTACCTTTACCTTTACTCGGACAGCATAGTTATAGATATTTTAATATACTAAAGGCTATTGGAACTGGGGCTGGAGCGATAGCACAGCGGTAGGGCGTGTGCCTTGCACGCAGCCGACATGGCCGACCCGAGTTCGATTCCTTTGCCCCTCTCGGAGAGCCCGGCAAGCTACCGAGAGTATCTCGCCCGCACGGCAGAGCCTGGCAAGCTACCCGTGGGGTATTGGATATGCCAGACACAGTAACAACAAAGTCTCCAATGGAGACCGTTACTGGGCCCGCTCGAGCAAATCGATAATCAACGGGAGGGCCTTTACTTTACTTTACTTTACTTTACTTTACTTTACTTTACTTACTATTGGAACTAATCAGTACGATACATATTGTAAGATTGTAACACAAAACTAAGTTATACACATCTGTGTACTCAATAAAAAATTGGAAAAGAGTCTTTAAATACTATTTATTATAGCATCTAGGGGCCAGATACAGTACCGTGGGTAAGGCACTTGCCTTGCATGTGGCTGACACAGGTTCAATCCCCAGCATCCCACAGGGTCCCCCAAGCCCTTCAAGAGTGATTCTTGGGCAAAGAGCCAGGAGTAACCCTGAGCACCACCAGGCGAGGACCCAAAGCAAACAAACAAAGCATCCAAAAATATCAAATACCAAAGGATAACTGAAATGCACAGACACGTAAGGAAAAATTCAAATACACATGTACGCTGAATACTATTGTCCACTGCAGAGAAGACAAAAATAAATGAAAAATATATATATATCATGCTCCTTGATTGGAACCTTTACTACCAACTAAGTCAATTCTCTTTTCTCCAAACTGGCCTATAGCATCGTTCTTCAATAAAAATGTAACACAGTAAGAGAACTCTCCTACATCTAAACCTTCCACTAATCTGTAACCACATGTATTTATTTATTTGTAAGTAAGGTAAGTCCATCACCCAGTTACGACCTGCTGAATAATGTGGCTTGCATTGTGGTGTATACACAAGCACACACACATTTGTAAAGCCACTACTTTTTGCTCCTGTCTTATACCCATGAGCCCTCACACATATCCTCAGCACATGCACACACACACACGCACACACACACATACACATATACACACACACCCTGACATGCATGTGCACAGATGTGCACATGTGTGCAGAAACAGAGAACATGTCTAGGCATAGACCCACATGCAAGAGGGAGTAGGAAGTGAGGATTTTGGATCCAGTGCTGGTGCAAGACCAGCTTTGGGGTTTTTTTGCGTTTTTGTTTGTTTTTTTCTGTTTGGTTCACACCCAGCGATGTGTGCCCATGAACACACCTGTGTGCCGACAAGACCCATACCAATGCACGCTTGTATGTGAGTGCACACGCTTGGCTGCAGGCTGAAGCACCATGGAGCTGTTCGCCAGCCCCACCATGTGGACTTGATGGAGGACCCCCTGGAGGGGCTGTGGGTGGGGGGGCGCTTCAGTTCCATGGCTTTTGCCTCAGTCCATTCTAGTGGCTCCCTGCCACCACCACACCCTAGCCCTTTAAAATTGGGCTTGGGGCTGGAGCAATAGGACAGCAGGTAGGGCGTTTGTTTGCCTTGCACACTGCCTGGGTTTGATTCCCAGCATCCCACAGGGTCCCCCAAGCCCCACCGCCAGGAGTAATTCCTGAGTGCATGAGCCAGGAGTAACCCCTGAGCATCGCCAAGTATGACCCCAAAAAGCAAAAAATAAAATAAAATAAAATAAATAAAACTGGGCTTGCACCAGCGCTGGATCCGAAACCCTCCCATCCTACTCTCTCAAAGCACAAGCTCATTCTCCCCATCCCGCCAACTCCTGCCACGTCCCATCACTGCTCTTGCGGCTCCCCCGAATCCCATCACCGAGCCACCCCCTTCCACCTTACATGTGCCTTCGTGCTGCTCCCATCCCTTCTTCCATGATTCCACAGTCCATCCTTCCCATTCTGCTCCAGCCGCTCCAACCAGGGGATACTGTGAAACTCTCTCCCCCAGCAGCTGCGCATCCCTGGAAATCGGTCCACGGGGACCCGTGTCCTCTTCTGAAGATGCCCCCCTCTCCTCCCTTTCCTCACGGTGGTTGTGTGCAATCCCTTTCTCCTCAAGTGCCTCACAGGACCCCCTTCACTCCTAGGCTCCCTTCTGCCTACTTCTCTCGGGCCTTTCTCAGCCAATAGCCTTGCATCCTCTTGAGAGAAGAATCTCTGTCAACAAGGCCCCCGAATTCTTCAAATACCTCTCAGATATCTGCAAATTAACCTCTATCTGCATGGGCCGACCTAGTGCACACTTGGCTCAGGGGAAGAAAAGAGTTTGCCTTCTCCTTGAGGTACAAGAGCACAAGGAATGCTGGGGAAAACTGAGGGAGGAAAAAGGGAGGAAAGGAAGAATGAGAGAGAGAGGAAGGGAAGGGAAGGGAAGGGAAGGGAAGGGAAGGGAAGGGAAGGGAAGGGAAGGGAAGGGAAGGGAAGGGAAGGGAAGGGAAGGATCCTCAGGTAAGTCAGGGAAAGATCTTACAGAACTCTAGGATCTTATTAAAATTTTTTCTTAATGTCAGTGTTCTATTTATATGATCTCAAAGTAACTTTGAATCTTGTTTGGTTAGATGTTCGACGCCGGTTTCTAGAATACACTCCCATTTCAACTTGCAGTGGCTAACGGCAGCGTTACAAGTTCACAGTCTATCAGAATCCGTGAGTTTGAATTGCACGTGCTTAACTTGAATATCAAAGTCACTATTAATTGTGTGCCTTTAAGGCCTGAAAACATGAGAACACACCTGTTTGTTCTAGACGGTTCAAATCAATTTACCCACACTTTGAAGAGCAACGCAATGTGGCCATTCGTTGAGAGAATTCCTGACAAAGATTTGCTAATGGGCACTGAAACTGAGAGTCGTCACACTTTATTATTTTCTAACCTCTTTTATGATCTTTCTTATAAAATGGGGTTTCTTTTCCACAATCAAATTTCTACCCTCACACGGAGAGTATCATGCTGAGTGAAGTGAGTCAGAAGGAGAGGGACAGACATAGAATGATTGCGCTATTTGTGGGATATAAAAAAAAAAAAGCATAATATGAGACTAATCCCCAAGGACAGTAGAAACAAGGGCCAGGAGGATTGGTCCACGGTTGGAAGCCTGCCTCAGGTTGCTGGGGGACAGGGCAGTTGGGACAGAGAAGGGACCGCAATGATAAAGCTGGAAATGGTCACTCTGCATAAGAACTGTGTGCTGAAACTAGGTAAGGAACAGCACCCAAAAGGAGAGAGAGAACAAAAGGGAATGCCCTGCCACAGAGGCAGGGTGGGATGGGGGGGATGGGGGGTGGGAGGGATACTGGGACCCGTGGTGGTGGGAAATGGGCACTGGTGGAGGGATGGGTACTCGATCATTGTATAACTGAAACCCAAGCACAAAAATTTGTAAGTCTACTACTGTACCTCTTGGTTTGTCACTAATAAATTTTTTTTAAAAAGTAGGTAAGGAACAAGTATGATAACTTTTCAGTATCTGTATTGAAAAACATAATGCCCAAAAGGGGAGGGGGGAGGCGGGAGGAGGGGAGAGAGTCAGAGAGAGAGGGAGGGAGGGAGAGACAGTGCCTGCCACAGCGACAGGCTCGGGGGAAATGGAGGAAAACGGGGAACATTGGGAAATGTACACTGGTGGTGTTGCAACATTGTAAGACTGAAACCAATCATGAACAAGGGTCTATCTCAGAGTGATTCAATAAAAAAATTAAAATAAATCTTTTTTAAAAAAAAGAGTATTTCCAGAGGCTGAATATTAAATGGATTTGGGCTATATGGACTGGATTAAAGTTATCAGGCTTTGGGAGAGAAAAACTAAACAAAACAAATTTCTACCGCCAAATTACTCCCGCAAAGCGACTCAGGCACATTTTAGATGGGCTCAAACAGCATGTCGACAGTGCCCCCCAGTGGTCAGGGGAGGGAAGGCGTCAGTGTAGGTGGTGCTGGAGAGCACTGGAGGTAGAGGGAACGTCTGCTTTCCTCAATCTCAGTCAATCCCACTTTAATTCATACAAATAAAGACTCTATGCGCTAGGTACTTTCCTCCCAACAGTCTCAGACAGGGAAATGCCGATATCAACTCTAAATAACTCACAGTGACACCGAGGCATGAGAAAGCGTGTTTCCTGCGAGTAAACCCAATCTTGGTGGACGTTTTCCCACCTGTTCCGGTTTGCGGGTGTCACACACTCACCCTGAGGGTCCACTTCCTTGGCCAGCTTCAAGGCGTCCGAGTTCGCCAGGTCGGTGTTGGCAGGCGTGACTGCCAAGATGAGGCAGTTCTCCCGGGAGATGAACTGCATGATCATGTCTCGGATCTGGTACTCGATGTCGGGGGGCTGGTCTCCCACGGGCACCTTGGTGATGCCAGGCAGGTCGATGAGGGTGAGGTTCAAGACTGCAGGGAGAGGAGAACAGGGGTCCTACATGGGCAGCCGCCAGGCCAAGAGACGCTGACAACGGGAGATCCCCTGACCCTCAGGCAGAGAGCTGCCGGCTTGGCTCACGGGCCTGCGCATGTGTGCTGTAGAGTTGCCTCTGCCTTCGCGACATGATGACGCCATCACAGGACATGGTAGGGACCTATTTGCAGCCAAAGGCTTTTCTCCAAGCTGTCGATCCACCCCTTTCCCGAAGAAAGGGCACACGCGGACTCCCTGTCCCTCCCGTACACTGCCTGCAACACGGCACCCATTCTCAGGACACTGACAGAGGACCCCACAAGGCACTGGGGAGCTATTTCCTTGGGGTGATGCCAGGAGGTCTGGTGCCAACCAAGACCAGGCCCGCGGGGCAGCAAGGGGATGAGCAGAGCATCGCCACTAATAGGCTGTGACTCTGGCCTGCAGCTGGCTGTCATCCAACTACAACAGTATGGGTGCCAGGCCACCCTGGGGGAAGCTTATGGGTGCAGCCTCTGGTCATTCAGGCTCTGCTTTTCAAGATCTGGGAGGGGCTCTGGGAAGAATCTGCCCACATAAATGCCCAGCGCGCAGTGAAGCTTCCCTTAGCCCCACCCCAGAAATGGGCTATATCGCATCAACATGGCTTCCAGAGAGGAGGCAGGAAGGAAAACATCACTGCTGGCTCCTGGGGGGTGTGTAGATGGGAGTAACCTGGGATGCACGGTGGTGGCAAGGACACCCTGAACAACCACGCATGCTTCGAGCACCTGGGCTGAGTCACAGGAATTACCCTGGGCATTGTCATGCATTCCTCTCTGGAGTGCCTGTGAGAAATGGCACAGTATCGAATGACACAGTATGGCACAGTATGACACAGAAATAGCACAGTATCGAATGACTGCTTGATTCTGATGGTCCCGGGAAGTCATCTCTGCCTGCCTCCACACACACAACTCTGGGGGCTCTCACAGCCCACCTTTGACGGCCACGCCCGACCCACCCTACACAGTCCTTCAGGAGAACAAACCGGCCTCGCCTCCACTCACACAGTTCACGGAGAAAGGTCTGGGGGTCAAGAAGCGACCCTGGGTGCTCCCACTTACCGTGTGGTGAGTAGACCCGTAAATTGATCGGGATTGGGGAGATGCCTTTGTTCATCCCCGTGACCCGGTCTGTCTCTGCTTCAATCTCATGGCGAACTTCATCAAAATCCGTGAACTTCCTCCCTTTGCAGTGCAGGAATTCTCCATATTCTACAAGAAACAAACCAATACCACCTAAGATGGTGTTCCAAATAATAATAATAATAATAATAATAATAGAGGCCGGAGGGGCTGGAACAATAGCACAGTGAGTAAGGCATCTGCCTTGCACGCAGCCAACACGGCCGACACAGGTTCAATTCCCAGCACCCCATATGGTCCCCTGAGCACCGCCAGGAGCAATTCCTGAGTGCATGAGCCAGGAGTAACCCCTGAGCATCGCCGGGTGTGACCCAAAAAGAAAATAAATAAAATAAAATAATAGAGGCCGGAGCAATAGTACAGTGAGTAGGGCGCTTGCCTTGCACACAGACCCAGGTTCAATCTCCAGCATCCCATATGGTCCCCTAAGCACTGCCAGGAGTAATTCCTGAGTGCAGAGCCAGAAGTAACCCCTGCATATTGCTGGGTATGACCCAAAAAGCGAAGAAGAAGAAAGAAGAAGGAGGAAGGAGGAAGGAGGGAGGAGGGAGGGGGAAGGAGAAGAGGAAGAAGAAGAGGAAGAAGAGGAAGGGGAGAGGAGGAGGGGGGGGAGGGGGAAGAGGAGGGAGGGGGAGGAGGAGGAGAAAGAGGAGAAGGAGAAAGAGGAGGAGGAGAAGGAGGAGGAGGAGAAAGAAGAGGAGGAGGAGGAGGAAGAGGAGGAGAAGGAGGAGGAGGAGGAGGAGGAGAAGAAGAAGAAGAAGAAGAAGAAGAAGAAGAAGAAGAAGAAGAAGAAGAAGAAGAAGAAGAAGAAGAAGAAGAAGAAGAAGAAGAAGAAGAAGAAGAAGTTGTTGTTGTTCCTGGGGTTACATGCTGAAGCATCCAATATTATCTTTGGTCAGTGAGACAAGAGAAGCCAAACAGTAGTCTGTAAACAGCACCACTGAATACTTTAGAAATGCTTGACAATGTACAAATGTGAAGGGTGTGAAATGTGCTCATTTCCGGAGAGCCAATCCGGCTCCAGAAACTGTCACTGTCACTGTCCTCCTGTTGTTCATCGATTTGCTCGAGCGGGCCCAGTAACGTCTCCATTGTGACAATTGTTACTGTGTCTGGCATATCGAATACGTCACGGGGAGCTTGCCAGGCTTTGCCTTTCGGGCGAGATACTCTCAGTAGCTTGCCGGGCTCTCCGAGAGGGGCGGAGGAATCAAACTTGGGTCGGCCATGTTGGCTGCATGCAAGGCAAACGCCCTACCCGCTGTGCTATCGCTCCAGCCTGTTAGAACACTATATGACTGAAACCCAAATCATGAACAACTTTGTAACTGTGTAACTCATGGTGATTCAATTTTTTGAAAGAAAAAAATAAACACAGAATTTTTGCTATAAAAGATAGATAATAAACCACCAGTCTAATAAGTAACTTAGTTATTTCTTGGTGGGTGCTCCCAAGCAGTGGGTCTACTCCTGGCAACATCTGACCTATCAGGCCAGATGGCCAGTTCTTGGCCAGTGGTGCTGGGGGTCTCCAGGGAGATAACCAAGATAACCGGCAGTGCTCAGAGGGTTATGAAGTCCTGGGATTCAAACTCAGTCCCCGTACAAGCAAAGTATGTGCCCTTGAGAGTTGAGCTATTTTTCTATATCCTCGAATAAGCACTATAAAGAGAATTTTGACTGTCCAAATGATAAAACATATCATATTTGATTTTCAAAAAAACAACATGTCAGGGGCTGGAGCAATAGCACAGTGGGTAGGGCGTTTGCCTTGCACGTGGCCCACCCAGGTTCGATTCCCAGCATTCCATAGGGTCCCCAGAGCACCGCCAGGAGTAATTCCTGAGTACAGAACCAGGAGTAACCCCTGTGCATCGCCAGATGTGACCCAAAAAGCAAAAAAACAAAACAAAGCAAAAAACAAAACAAAAAACAACATGTCAGGACACACGCCGAGACTATGTACTCATCCCTTAGCCTGGCCCCTTTTCAGTATCACCATGGTGATGCAATGCTGTTCTGAAAATAGTTTCCAAAGGCAGGAAGGTTTAGAAGCAAAGTTTGCTTAATTCTTTAAGAAGAAATAAGACGTGGGATATTTCAGCTTTAAAATACACTATCTAGGGACTGGAGGGATAGCACAGCAGGTAGGACGTTTGCCTTGCACGCGGCTGACCCGGGTTCGATTCCCAGCATCCCATATGGTCCCCTGAGCACCGCCGGGAGTAATTCCTGAGTGCAGAGTCAGGAGTAAACCCTGTGCATCGCCGGGTGTGACTGAAAAAGCCAAAAAAATAAAAATAAAATAAAATAAAATAAAATACACTATCTAAATCGCCGCATCAATTTTTGCAGTGTAAAAGTTACGTCCTCTGCAACGTTCACTGCTTTCAGGGGATGAAGACGCCGCCGGCGGAGTTAGGCACTGCCAGTTCAACTCCATGGCATTGCGCATGAATGACGCACTGTGGTCTTCCTTATGCCCACTAGATGGCGCCCTCGTTCCGTCCCTGCAGGGAGTCTGTCCTGGCTCTGTCTAAGACCTTAAACCTGTGAGTGCAACTTTCAGGTTACACTCCTGGAACTCTCTGAATTGAAAGGCTGACAGAACTGTGTGCCCTTTGAAGAGGAAGGTCCCAGAGACAGACTCTGGGGACACACAGAGGCACTTGCCCCTCCCCAGGCCTGCCAAGCAGTTTCAGAAACTGGAGACACCGCCCAAGCCGGAGATGAGTCTCCAGCCTCCTGCAGATTAAATTCAGGAGATGAAACAGTAAACAACGTGTGCAGGACAGATAAGCGCTGCAGAGAAAAGCAAGCAGAGGTGTTGGGTGCTGGGTGGCCTTATCGCGTGCTAAGGAGACGGCTTTTCCGATTGAATCGAGTGACATCTGAGCAAGGCTCGTGGTGCAAAGGGCATCCTGGCAGAGGGCCCGCAGCAGGCAACGCCTGGCAAGCCCGAGAACAGTTCAAGGAGAGGAGGAAGCTGGGGCAAAGGGCTGCGGTGTAGGTTCAAGACACACACACACATGCACGCACACATGCACTCACACATGCATCACACCAAGGCCTTGGCTATCTCTCCTTGCCATAAAGAGTCCTGGGTCAAGGGCAAGCATGATGTAAAATCAAGAATAAGGGCTGCTGGGATTTATATCAGATGGCGAGGAGATGGGAAAAGAGGCTGTCGGGTGTATGGAGGTGAGAGAGGATGGTTTTAGATGGGGGTGGGGAACCGTGGCAGTGGACAGGAATGGGCAGAATCTAAGACACTTTGGAGAGGAAAAGTCAGTGGGATATGCTGACGGGTTAAAGATGGAGCGTAGAAAAGAGGGTTCATGGTTCATTTCAAGGAGTGCCAGTTTAGGTGGCTGGAGCGATAGCACAGCGGGTAGGGTATTAGCCTTGCATGCGGCTGATGCGGGTTCAATCCCCAGCATCCCACAGGGTCCCCCAAGCACCATCAGGAGTGATTCCTGAGTGCAGAGCCAGGAGGAACCCCTGAGCATCACCGAGTGTGACCCAAAAAGCCAAGAGGGGAAAAGGAGTGTCAATAAAGAGATTTCCCAAGAAGATCTTGCATGGGGCCAAGGATGCATTTCAAGCGACAAAGCCCTACCAAGTACAAAGCCCAGAGTTCAGTCCCTGGCACCACATGGCCTGCTCCCCCAGGACCCCTAAGTATGACCTCTATTTAAAAAAAGAAATAGGTCCTCCGTAAAGGTAAAGGTAAAGGCCCTCCCGTTGATCATCTATTTGCTCGAGCGGGCCCAGTAACGTCTCCATTGGAGACTTTGTTGTTACTGTGTCTGGCATATCGAATACGTCACAGGGAGCTTGCCAGGCTCTGCCGGGCGGGCGAGGTACTCTCGGTAGCTTGCCGGGCTCTCCGAGAGGGGCGGAGGAATCGAACTCGGGTCGGCTTGCAAGGCAAACGCCCTACCCGCTGTGCTATCGCTCCAGCCCTCCAGGTCCTCCGTATGATCCAACAATTCCATTCTTATCTATCCAAAGAACACAAAAGCACTAATGTGAAAAGCTCTGTGGACCACTGAGGTCACTGCAGTGTGCTACTGACAACAGCCAAGATCTGGAAATGACCCAATTACGACAAATGTGTAATCAAAGGCCGACTCTGCCACCCCGTGCAGGGTTCCAAGTCTCACTATATTCTAGCAACTAGTATCGAGCGCCTCTTCCAACACCTTCCACCCAGTCTGCAGACATATTTTGGATTGAATTAAATATCACGCCACCCCAGCCGCACATGCTAAGGGAAAAGGCAGCTCAGATAGAGAAGGGAGCACCAAGTAAAGGGTGTTGGGAGGATCCTCCCAGGATGGGAGATGTATGCTGAAAGTAGACTCTAGACCGAACATGACTGCCACTCAATGCCTCTCTTGCAAACCACAGCACCCAAAAGGAGAGAGATAGAACAAGGGGGAATGCTCTGCCACAGAGGCAGGGTGGGACGGGGGGGATGGGGGGGTGGAAGGGATGGTGGGATCAGTAGTGGTGGAGAATGGGCACTGGTGGAGGGATGGATACTCGATCATTGAAACCCAAGCACAAAAATTTTTAAGTCTACAAATGTGCCTCATGGTGTTTCACTAATAAAAATTTTTTTAAAAAAGAATTATTGGGGGTATGGTGCCACCAGCAGGTCAATCTGTACCTGTGAGGTGAGTGCATCAGCAGCCTGATGGCACCATCAGGCTTTCAGATACCCCAAAATTGCTGCTGTGCCTTTGGCCAGACCCCAAAAACTTGGGGCAAAGTTTACCAAGAAAGTAAACGGCCAAAAGTTAGGTATGTGGGAGACACACCCACAAACCACCTCCGGCTCAGCTATATAATTGGAGGCATGGCCTCTCTGGTTCCTGATTGAACTATTTAACAGCCATGATCCCAGAGGCTCAGAAACTAATCTAGGAACCCAAAAGCTTTTGGCAGAAATGTGTCCTGTTCCTGCAGTAGGTTACTGGGGCTGGGCCACTCCAGGTGGGAATAGGTTTCGTGCCTTGGCCTGCTCCTCTTGGCGGTCTGGTGACCATCATCCTTCAGAGGCC